CGCCCCGCTGGCATCCCCTGCGCACCCTCATCCCGGCCAGGAGAGGAGGGCCGCCGTGACGGCCAGGTGACCCTCGCAGCAGAGGATTCCCAGTGCTTTTTCCCCACCTGGGATTAGGATTTGTCATCCTCCTCCTTTCGTCTGTTTCTCCCTCCCTGCTGGGTTAGTTAGCCCCCAGAAAAAAGGCTGCTTAGTAATTTTCCCTTTTACCTGCACAGCCTCCATGGGAGTCCCCTGACAGATGCAGGCTTGGCCCTCCTCAACCCTGCTCTCTCCATCCACCCCTCACTGGTGGCTCTGGATCTAGGAGACTGCATGCTGGGTGATGAAGGCATCAACCTTATCTGTGGGCTTCTGCCACCTGACGGGGCCAAGTCCGGTAAGCACCAGGGGCCGCGGGCTGCACAACGACTGGTGGAGCTCTCACATACAGCAGTAAATCCTCAGCCCTGGTGGAGGCAGGCTCTGTAGTTTGCCTGGGCTGAGGAATTTCTTTCCCCAACTTAAGTAAGGCAGAAAAGCCAAGGAACAGAGGAGCGGTTCCCTCGGGCAGGCATGGTCTTTCTGCTATTGATCTGTCCTGCTGGCAGTTTGGAACTCAGGGACCAACAGGTTGCTTCGGTTTCATGATGGGAGTGTTTGAAACTGGAAGAGGGGACAGCTTGGACTTTGAATTTATTATTTTGCATTTGCATGTTGCTTATGACTATACATACATATATGGTGTGCTCCCACCTGAGCACTTGGCTTGATTGTCAGTGCCTGGGAATTGTCCCTGCTTGTGGGTCCACTTCGTGAGTGTGTAGTTGGGTGTTGGTAGCCTTAGCATCATGACTCAGATCTTTATAGGGCCAGAGGCCAGTGGTCCAGTTAAGCTGAGAGCTGGCATGTGTTGAGGTAACACCATCCCTCTCTCCCGACTTTCAAACTGCTTTCTACCTCCTCTCCTCAGTACCTTCTCCTCTGTGCTTACAGTGCCACTAATGCTCTTATCTCAACTGGCAACCCCTCCTAGGTGCAGGCTTCAGAGCATACTGTCCCTGTTATCCTCTCTCCAACCTGTCACCTCATACCACCTCCTTCCGGTCAGTCACCTCGCACACCCCGTATTGTTTCTATTGTGTTTGCTATTTAGGGTAAGCAGGACGCAGTTTGTGAGAGCAGAGAAATAGGGCAGTCGCAGCATGGGCAAATGAAGGGACACTGCTGAAGGCAGTGAAATATTTCACTGATCAGTGAAATATGTGATGATGGTTGTCAGAGCAAACCAAACCCTTTAGCCCATCAGGGTACAGGGAACACGACTTGAAGCTGTCCTGGTTAGCTGAACTAGTTCCCTGGAGGCTGCCTTGGTGACCCTAAGGTTGTGGTTTGGCTTCTCTCTCCTCCAGGCCTCAAAGAGCTAACGCTGAGCGCCAACCCAGGTGTCACAAGCAAAGGCTGGGGACGCCTGGCCATTGCAGTGGCTCACAGCTCACAGCTCCGTGTGCTGAACCTGGACTACAACCCCCTAGGTAAGCTGGGGTGCCAGGGGACACTGCACTCCTGCTTCTCAGTGTTTGTGTGATTTGTGCTGGTGGGTGGCTGGGAACCAAGCTCTAGAAGGGCAGCAGAGCTTCACCAGCAGGATGGGGCAGTTTCTTGCATAGGTCCTTTCTGATCTCCGACAGCAAGTTCACCCTGCCAGGTGCCCTCGGCTGTGGGGAAAGCCAGCCTTGCTGCTCTGCTTGTGTGAGGTGGCCGTGTGCCCTGTGGGGAGGTGCAGAAATTAGGTTGTGCCTTGCCCACTCCACCGCCTTTGTCATCACATTTGACCCTCCACATCTCCCCTGTTTCTGAAGCCCTGGGCGCCGATGCTGGCTTGGCAGATGCAGTATGTCCCCGCACTCCCCCCTTCATCTTCCAGGCAGAGCAGGGAGGAGGAGGAGGAGAGCCTGGCACTGGTTGCCATAGAAACCAACTCTCTCCAGCTCTGCTGCAAGGTGGTGAGGAGACCAGGCCATGCCTCCCTGAGCATCGGCTGGGCGCTCCCCTCCTCACCCTGTCTGGAAAGGGAGCCTCCCCGAGGCCCTGTCTGTCTGACCAGGTACCTCCTGGTGTTACCTGACAGCTTTTTTTTTTTTTCCCCAAGAAAAGGTGTCACAGTTGTACAGTATCTTGGCACTCACCAGGGAATGTCAGAACGCGCTGCATTCTTGTCTCTTCACCATCTTTAATGCTCCTGGTCCCGCTGCGTCCACCCCCAAAAGTCTGCCCCCTTTCCAGGGAGGCAGTCCGTCAGCTGGTGCAGGGTCCCCTGTCCGGCTCCAACCTTCCAACCTCCCCCTAGACTGAGGTATTCAGCTCCCTATTCTGTGTCTGGGATGCCTTACAGGGACTGTTAAAGGCCCTTGCATCCTTGAGTAGGAAGAAGATTTGGGGAGACGTGATTCCTCAGGGAGTAAAAACAATTTCACTGTGTTCCTTCATGTTCGCCCTGATAATCAGTGACTGCTCCCATAACCACAAAATGGTGCACCTTTGCCTTGTCTCTTTTCTCAGTTATCAGCTTCCCCCCTTGACAAGGTAACTGAGATTTGGAGGTTGTCTGATGGCAGAAATACACAGAGGATGTTTCCATGACAGCCCCAGGCCCATGAGGTCATGTGGTATTACATGAGGGAAGGCAGGCACTGCTGACAGCCCATTTGCTTCTCCCACAGGTGACCAGGTAGCAGGGATGCTTGCCGTTGCTGTGGCCTCCAGTCGAACCCTTGAAGTTCTGGACTTGGAGGGAACAGGACTTACCAACCAGTCAGCCCAGGTATGAGAGCCTACAGTTATTCTACAGCATCACTAACGTCTCAAGGACATAGGTCTTGGCCATTTGTAGAAGCCCTAGGACCTACACCTGCCTCCATCCCCCTCCCTGAGTCCACATGCATCCCCTTCCCTCCCTGCGCCCAGGGCTGCTGTTGCTTTCCCCTGGCCTGTTGCATTTGGTCACAGGAGGAGCTTGTAGGCCACAGGTTTACAAGGGCTCCTGGATCTCCCTCAAGTCAGCAGGCAGGAACATGTGGCTCTATTTGTAGCTTGGTTTTCTTGGAAGAAGTAAGGGGTTGGATTTGTGACTGAGGATCAGAGATAAAGCTCTGAGGACAGATACTGGCCAAGGCTTGGTAGCACAGGCTCTCCCCTCAGAGCCCCAGCTCCCAGTGATAAGAGGGGAGTAGCCTGGATATGTGGAAGCAACAGGGTGTAGACAAGTCCCTTCCTCTTTAGGTAGAGCCAGGAAATCCAGGCTCAGCTCTTCCCACAGAAAGATGAGAAGCCCTCGGGCTCTCAGAAAGCCTGGAGGAGGGAGGTCAAAGGCAAAGGAAGGCAGAGGTAAGAAGAGGGCTGGAGTTTGCAGGGAGACAGGCCTCTTTCTGCTCAGCCTAGCTGCTGTTTGTGCTGCTTGTCAGCCTGTTTATCTTGCTCTCTGCCCAGACCTTGCTGGACATGGTAGAGAATTACCCCACAGCCCTACGGACACTCATCCTGGCAGAGAACAACATTAGTCCCGAGCTGCAGCAGCAGATCTCTGACCTGCTCTCAGAGGGTGAGGAAGAGGAGGAGATGGAGGCTCGTGAAGTCACGGCCAGGGAGAAGAACCCCTGGATCTGCCAGAACAGTAAGAGCTCTGGGACCTGCGCCGTGGGCAGGGGCTGACAGGCAGGAATAGGGGTCTCTGGGGTGTTTCCAGCTGTGGTTGGGTTGGTGAATGGGGTCTGCCCTCCTCCCTGTGAACTGGAATCCAGACAGCCTCCAGGCATGACCTTCACCTGGAATAGCATTGGGCTGAGCTGCTTAGAAAGGCAGCCAGCCTCCAAGGACAATGCGGCTGCTGCAAAGAGTAGCAGTGGTACCTCAGAGGCGTTTTCCCTGATGCTGCAGGAATGAAATCTTTGTGCAAAGTCTTAAAACTCAAGGGCAGGAGCATTAAAGATCTCAGGTACCTTTGCCAGACATCCTAGCCAAAACTCATACATTCGTCACTGCTTTCAGAACCTCCCTGCAATCCGCACAGCATCAGATATTCCTATCTCTGTCCTAAACGTGTGAGGGGGGGTTAGCCAGGTGCCACAGCCTATCTTCTGTGCGGTGGCTTGTAACAGGAAAAAAAAAAGGTATACTATGGAGATAGCAGTAGCCTGTTGTGTATGGTTGGTATATATATTGCATATTGTCATGTCTACCTTGTGATCCTGCTGGTTGGGTTGTTTGGGGTTTTTTTTAACCTTTAATTGTCCTTCCCTCCCAATTCTTTTATCAGACTAGCAGCAAACGAGCACAACCACTCCCTGGGCCTCAAAACATCTGGATCCTCATTTATTAAAACCATAAAAAATCCTTTACTGACAGCTCTGGCTGTTTTGGGTCCAGTTTCCAGAATTTGATCCTCAAAACAGAGATCGTATGCAGCAGTTTTGATTCCCCCCCCCCACCCTCATCCAGGAAAAAAACCCAATTTTTTTGTGTCATTAAAAAGGCTTCTGGATGGGAAACAGGTACCCTGCTGAGTTTCTTACTTGCTATGCATGCATCCTCCTTGCAGCCAATTCACTTTGGGGGGGGGGGGGGGAGTCACAGCATTCCTGGCTGGCGTTCTGTGCCATTGCAGAGCCAGCAAGCTGCCCTCACCTTCCTGCACAAACCCTCCATTCATGCAGTGCAGAAAGTCAAGATTTCCAGGCCTCTGCTGCCATAAAATGGCTGCTTGCCCGCTGCATTCCCTGCTCTCAGGAAGGCACCACCAGGCTTGCAGCCTGCCAGCCCGGCCCACCTGGACATTGTCTCTATAGCTGAAAAGACACTCAGTGAGTGCAGATTTGAAGCTCTGTGTAGGGCTGGGTCAGCACAACCACTGTCACCTGCAAGTGTATGTGAGGTGGGCTCAGAGCTGATGTTCCTCTTGACAGCCAATATAACAAATGCAGATCCCCACCCTGGGCTCTTGCTGCTGTCTCTGCCTTCCTCCCCCCTCCCCAAACATCGATTCTGTTCTGCTGTGTGGCCAGAGCAGACCTAGTTACTACTTAATCTCACAATCCTCTCAGCAGTTCACTTCCCACCGTGCTGTGCTCTAATTCCTCATCCTCACCTCTGGATCTGGAGTACAGCTCTGCGTTCTCTGGCAGCCCAAATGGTTCATGGTTTTTCTCCTTCTCTTGCCACAGATTCCAGCTCCCAGATGGTCCTGATGACGTCAGGTCTGGGTGACAGCCTCTTAGCAGAAACAGAAATG